TGTAACACAGGGAAAAGTGTCATCTCATGTTGAAATGTGGTTTTCCAACGAAGCCAACTCATTAGTGAGGGTTTTTCTGCGACGATGGGCCAAAACGGCTGAACTCCCGCGAAATAGTTCGTTAATCCCGTCGCCATTTTTTACGTTTGGATTTCACACAGCGTAGTCTCGGACCTGTAGCCCGCTAGCAAGGTAGAACAACAGTACGCATGGTAGGATAGATTTATTATGACTCATTTACAATCAATCGTGTCAAGCGTATGTTAAGCAAGACAGTTGCAGTGTTACAGTGATCTAAACTGCTTGGATACCACTGCAATTTTGATGCTCCAGCAGTCAAAAATCTTGTCGGCTAAAAAAAACCTGGCTTTGGAAATGTTTGTACACATGACCCAGATTTGGCCTGCTCGGTTAAATGTTGTGACTTGTTTTTTAATTGTTTAAAACATTGATAGCTCTTCGTGTTTTTGGCTTTTGCCAATTTATCGTTTGACTTAATCTTGATTAGAGTTTTATGATCAGGTGCTCTCTGCTTTGCTTGTTTTTAGTGAGAAATGTGGTCTAATTGAACGAAGCTTCTGAGAGACAGGTCCACTTTGAACAACTTTCGGTTTCCTAATTTTTTTGCACATTAAAATAGCCAGTAAAACCGGCCCATTCATGTACCTTACCCCGTCGTTCTCATCTCCCTCGTCCCCTAAGCCTTCGGGTACGATTGAACGGTAGTCGGATGTGCGGCAAACTGTTGTCCACATCTGAGGATACTAGCTGGAAATGGGTCGATCAGGATGGCGATGCCGATGAGTTGAATGAAGACTTCGCGGATGAAACCGAGGGAGAAATGACTGGCAGTTCGACTCTTGGAGGAGGCATGCTTCTTGGTCACGCTCGACTGTATACAAACATAGATCTTGTATTTTGTCGCCACATCAGGACTGGTCTTGGTTTGAATAATCGACGAGTTCGGGATGAGGACTACCGTTGGGAACCGAAATCGGCATGTCTTAAACTGTACGGAGTTCGCGTGGGTCTTATGGAAGGTGCGTCATTGTAGGTGCTTGTCTCTCCACAAGCGTGTGGTGTTCCATCTGTCTGCTTCTAGATCCATTCTCTTCATTCTCTGTCTACCTCAATTTCGTATGATGAATAATATATATAGTTGCCAGAAAGCTCATTTTTAGTTTTGAGTGTCTACGTTAAAACTTTAATGTATCAATACCGACTTTCGTAATTGTTTAGTTCTGCTGCTTTATCAGTAGAAGGACGATCTTTTTGTTAAAAACTTTCTAATTGCCCACTTATCCGTTTAATCAATAGCTATGCTCATTTTATTCTCTCCTTGTCATGCGTTCTCAACTATTTGGCACTTCAATTATCACTAGAACTGCTCGAGCTTCTTAAACAACGGCTGCATATTCCTAAACACGCGCCTCCCGGAGTTCCAACACCCCCGGTGACATTTGCGTCACCTGTGTGGTCCGCTTCGTTTCATCCGACCCGATCTGGTGACTCTCACACCGCTGCGGTCCTGTTTTCCCAATCTCAGACCATAGTTGGCACGTCAACTTCCGTTGCCCCACTGTCTCGTTCGGTAGCTACATCATTAGCTGGTAGCAGTACCGCATTTCACGTTTGTTTGTCGGTTCTCCCCCTTCGTTTGATGGCCACCAACTCGACCGATCGCTCTGGCCGTTCCTGCCTCCGCGCCCAACACACCGCACAGGAGACCGAAGATATCGCCTTTCGATTCGAATTGATACGCTTCATATTTCGCCGGTACGTCTGCTTTGTGTTACCATTTTTCGGTGTACGGGTGGTAAATGTTTGATAGCTAATACTATCCAGAAGTTAAAAGCTGATAGTGCAAAGCTTCTTCCCAGCCGGAGCTGCTGTTGACCCAGTTCAGTCCGCTGAGACTGCCGTATAGCTTCAAAATAAGCTGTGTGTGAATCCCCTTAGCCCCATAACGGGTTTTTATAACTTTTTTATGTTTTTGAACTGATTTTGCGATACGCCAATTCGATTAGTTAATCTAAACATCACGCTTCCCGGTTTCTTCCGCTTTGTCCTCATGCTCCTCGATCACATCTTCTGTTACTCACATTAGGAGCTTGCAGCTAAAATTCTATTCGTTTTTGTTCACCGGCATCGTCATACCGCCGCTGTCGCCACCGCCACTACCACCGACACCACACAATAAGTCAAGTCATGGCTCATCGAAATGGAACAGTGCTTGGGAAATGCACTCGGCACATCTTTTCCCCACACAGTCTAACAGTAGCAATGCGCCCGACCTGAACCCGTGTCAGTTCTGCCCACCACCATCATCTGACGCCAAAGGTCTGTTTGTTCCTGAATCTGGTCGTCACGTGACAGATGAGTCCATATTCTTTTGGCCCGGCCCGGATGCAATCAGAGAACTGGAATCGGATTCGTCCCGTGCAGTTTCATGCTGTACTGGCATGCCCAAAACGTCGGAAAAAACAATAATAGTTCGTTTGAAATTGACCTCATTGCATTTGCTGAACGGCTGGATAGATGCATATCAAAACTGCTCTTTGGATTGCAATTTTGATTCAGTTGTGCTCGATTTCTGTGTAAGTTCCATAAATTCAGTCGTCTTCTAAACCGAATCACCACACGTCTTCTTTCCAAATGTGAGTGCTGTCGGTGAAACTGTGTATCATTGTGGTGATCTTTGCCCGTTACTCCTTATTTCTCGCTTAAAATGTTTGTAAATTCTTGAAACATTGGGCACAATAACAGAAGAAATTGTAGTCCGTGTTTTGCCGTAGTGAGATCCACCGTTCTATCGGTTTATCCCGTTATTCTGTATTCTGCCACTCAGTAGCGGGGGAAACACATTTCACTTACGAATACACGTATGCCATCATGTATAATCAGATCTATCTGCCATTGATCGAGAAGGCTCCGCAAACCATCACTAAGTTCCTGATATTGTTCCCTCAACTAACAGCTCTTCTTTCGTGACACTATGCGAATAATAATTTCGAAAGTTCAGTCCATTTCAGTATGTAAAACCATTAGCCAAGCTTTTTTGTGCGGCGGTTTTGGTCAGCCTATTTGAATAAGGGGATAGAGTGAAGATTAGGGAGTTGAAAGCATTTAGAAAACCCAGTTAATTTAGGTTATTTTTCACTTACTAAGGATTTTAGCACTTGTTTGTCTATTAGATGTGTGCCGCAGCCCACGATAAACCTGTTTAAAAAACGATATCGTTTCTCTTTTTGGTATTTCATTCACGACACAATTTGTAATGTTGGTTTCTAAACACTTATTACAATCAGTCGCTGCGAAATTCGACTTTTCATTGAGGATGGATTCTATGCTGCAGCTGTTTGTACCGTATTCTGTAGAGCCATTGCCATTGCGGAAACACCATAACGATGGACTATCAGTACTTTAACACCACCATCTATACCGCATTACATGACTCTGTGAGGAGAATCTTAATATCAGTACGCAGGTTGGGCACAAAGATTTTGCGTAGTCGCGCACTCGAGTAACTGCTTGACCTTCGTAGACCGCGGTGACCGGAGGCACGTGCTGCGCATGTCACCAGATAGCCTTCCTTGGTGGACAATGTTTGGCGATTCAAGTAATGGGTGGAAGGAGACCACCGAAGATGAAACTAAAATCTGGTCCTGGGGTTTTGTCGCCCTGGTCAGGGACTTGACCCTATTGGATTGCGTGAGATTTTCTGTGTTGGAGACCTCGAGAGTTGGACAGATTGAGTGTCTTAAACGTGTACGTTCGTGCATCAAGTCATTTTCTACGCAAGAATGTTTCATTTGCCTTATGCATCGTTATCTTGATGATGCTTCTACTACTATTTTCCTCAATTTCTCTTACTGTCTGACAAATCAGTAACCGAAATCGTCACATGACAGTGTAAGGCTGGATAATGATTTTAAAAATTAAAAATTCGTTATATGAACAGTGCGTATTCACTCTTCGAGTTATGTGAAGCGATTTGTTTGCTTTGACTTGTGACCGATGTTGATTTTAGTTGTTTATTACTGTGTTTCATACAGAAGCGTAGTACCGGTTGTTTTTTCAACGGTGCTATTGGAAAATCGCAACTACTGTTTATACACAGTCCGACGGAGTTAC